AAAATGGCAGTTTCATGCTAACAGCCTTTGCAGGTTATTAAGTTGCAGGTAATCAACTGAGTCACAGGTATGCATGGTATCAGCACTAAATCACTAAATACATTGGACTGAAAATCCCCAAAATAAGGAGATTCTCCTGCATAATCACACTACCAGATCACACCTAAGATGAAATCATTCCCTTTATCATCTGTATTAGTTATCTGCTTCTGGGTAACAAAGTACTCCAAAACATGGCATTTAACACCGCAAATATTTTTATCTCACAGCGCCTGAGTGTTAGAAATCTGAAGGCAGCTTAGCTGGATGGTTCTGGCTCTGAGTCTCTCATGAGGTTGCAATAAATCTTCCAGTTGGAGCAGACGTCTCCAGACTTGTTCAGTGGCTGATGTGTGGAAGCCTGAGGTCCTTTCTTCACTGCCCCACCCAGTCTACCTGAGCATTGTCACAACGTGGCAGATGCCTTCACCCTGAAGCAAAAGATCTTTGTGTGTGTGTGTGTGTGTGTGTGTGTGTGTGTGTGTGTGTGTGTGTATGTGGTCTCTTTATTTGTTTTCTGGTCTAGGCCCTTGGGTTTGCTGAGCCTTCCCTCTTATAATGAGAAAAACAAGGGCTAATGAGGGGAAGCATCTTGTCTGAAGACCCCCAGCCATTCTCCACTTAGATGCATGCATTATGAAGCCCAAAGGTCATCTGGCACTGTGCTCTCCAAAACAGCCCTCCACAAACACTGTATTTGAGCTTTCCATTTTAAATGTGGATTTGAACATTGTAATAAACAGAACAACCCCCTTGGATATATTGCATACCAAATGTTAGCATTTGGAGATGGCCAGCACAGTTTCTCATGCTGTTAACTCAGTTGTCAGCAAGTTTGACACTGAAGTTTGTCCTGCTATCTCTGCATAAGTAAAGAGCACCCAAAAGTTGCAAGCAAAGCAAGGTTCTAAATACTGCTAGGATTATCAGCTGCCATTATTTGGTGACCTGGGATTTTCTTAGTATATTTGTAACTCTAAAAAGTTTAAAAGTTTTGAAGCTTAAAGCAGTGCTGAGGTTGAGACAGGACTGTATCTGTCACCCATAATATTTAATTTCTTATTCTTTTTTTTTTTTTTTTTTTGAGAATGGAGTCTCACTTTGTTGCCCAGGCTGGTGTGCAGTGGTTCAAGCAATCCTCCTGCCTCAGCCTCCTAAGTAGCTGGGATTACAGGCTCCCACCACTATGCCTGGCTAACTTTTGTATTTTTAATAGAGACGGGGTTTCACCATGTTGGCCAGGCTGGTCTTGAACTCCTGACCTCAAGTGATCCAGCTGTCTCAGCCTCCTAAAATTCGGGGATTCCAAGTATGAGCCACCACACCCAGCCGAATTTCTGATTCTTTTTGATCTATCAGAACAACTCATTGTTCTCAATGACCTTATAATAAGTAAATGTTATAGAATATATAGCGTCATTTACCTTTTCCTGTAGAGGAAGACTACATTTCCCAGAGTCCTTTGCATTTGAATAGAAGCCTGTAACTAGATACTGAGGGCCCCTGGCATGTGGGCAGAAGTTGGGTATGTGCCTTCTTCCCCTTCCATGGAGGCCAGAGCTTTATCATGGCAGAACCACAAATGGTGCGAGGGCAGGTCTCTGGACCACTGGTTGAGGGATAGAGAAGATCTTCACTGATCAGTGACAGGAGCGAGAAGCAAACCTTTGCGTGTTAAGCCACTGAGATGTTGGGATATATTTATCATAGTAGATTCTGGTCTATCCTGACTAATACTGGATTAAACAAATAACATTTCTTGCAACTCAAAGCCACAATGAGATACCATCTCACACCAGTTAGAATGGTGATTATTAAAAAGTTAGAAAACCACAGATGCTGGTAAGGCTGTGGAGAAACAGGAACACTTTTATACTGTTGGTGGAAGTGTAAATTAGTTCAACCATTGTGGAAGACAGTGTGGCCATTCCTCAAGGATCTAGAACCAGAAATACCATTTGACCCAGCAATCCCATTACTGGGTACATACCCAAAGGATTATAAATCATTCTACTATAAAGACACATGCACACGTATGTTTATTGCAGCACTATTTACAATAGCAAAGACTTGGAACCAACCCAACCAAATGCCCATCAACGATAGACTGGATAAAGAAAATATGGCACATATACACCATGGAATACTATGCAGCCTTAAAAAAGAATGAGATCATGTCCTTTGCAGGGACATGAATGAAGCTGGCAGCCATCATCCTCAGCAAACTCACACAGTAGCACAAAACCAAACACCACATGTTCTCATTCATAAGTGAGAATTGAATAATGAGAACACATGGACACAGGGAGGGAAACACCATACACTGGGGCCTGTTGGGGGGTGAGGAGCAGGGGAGGGAGAACATCAGGACAAATACCTAATGCATGCGGGGCTTAAAACCTAGATGATGGGTTGATAGGTGCAGCAAGCCACCATGGCCCATGTATACCTATGTAACAAACCGGCAAGTTCTGCATGTTTATCCCAGAACTTAAAGTAAAATAAAATGAAAATAAAAAAACATAAATAATATTTCTAATAAAACATAGCTCTTATCTATCCTATATATTGGGTTCCATGTTGTTTATTGAAAAGTAAAAAGAGTTTTCTGCTACAAAAGCATCAAAATGAGCAACTGAGTTTGAAGTCAGAATCTTACACGTGGGGAACTCAAGGGCTGGAGAGGAGAAATAACTTTTCCAGGGTCACATACCTGAGGCAGGGCTAAACTCCAGCATAGGGACACCTGTAGTTTTACCCTGTCCTTTCTTTTGGTAACGGCAGCTAAATTTCTTCGTCTTCCTGCTCAGGTCACATGCTGCATGTGGGACTCACTTTCATCCCTCAGCTCCAGGCCTGGTGAATCTATATCATCTATCACCTAGGCCTCGGTAATTAGCCTGAGGATGGATGCATGACCCAGTCCAGACCAGTCACAGCTAATCCCTGCGTTTTTGCTGGAGCTGCTCTCCATGGACGGTTGAATCAACAGGATATAAGTCTCGAACTACTGGGTGCTGTCTCAGTATTTCCAGGTTGAGAATGCAGCTAACACAGGGGGAAGCAGAGCAGAAATATGGAGTGAGCCAGATGATGCTTGATGATGTTTGAGCACCTGGATCCAGCCATGCCTGAAGTCGAAGCTTTTAGTCACATGAACCAGTAAGTTTCCTTTTTGTTTATGCCAGTTTTGACTGATTTGCTGTCACTAGCAACTAAAGCTACCCTGACTTATACACATGGTTTTCTGCTTTTTCTCACCAAGAGTCAGGAATTACTTTTCTGTTTTACTGTTAAGGAAATGGAGGCTCAATCAATTTGTAATTAGATGCTTCAAGTCTCGCCAGATTTAAGGCTTGGTGACCTCCCTTTTGTGTTGGGAATGGCCCACACAGGAACTGTTCTTTGCTTCTGGCCCCTGCTTCAGTGCAGACGCACTCTATCCTGTTTCACAACAGTGTTGACCATGATATCCACTGCAGAGTAGGTGCTAAAACATTGCTGAAACAAAATAAGGAAAGAATACCCTACAAAAAGCTGAGTAAAGTGTATAATGAAGCGGTTCATCAAAAAAAGCGCAAATGACATCTCTCTAAAAGATGCCCAACTTCAGTAGTAAATAAGAAATACAAACAAAGCAAAGACCATCTTTCACTCATGAGTTTGTCAAAGAGCTAAAGGTTTCCTAACAGCTGAGGGCAGGGAAATAGGCTCTTTCTTGGGCTGTGGCAGTAGCAGGGGAAGGGACACAGCATCTTTGGAGGCCAGTGTGGCAATGTCTGTGAGATGTAAACAGTGGACAAGCCATCTGTCCTCCAGTTTAGAACCTATTCTCCAAAGAAACTCCAACAAATATGCAAAGACGCAGGTAAAAGGCTGTTCAGTAGAGTTATTTTTCATAGAAAAAAACCCCCCAAAACCTAAAGAAAAGAAAACAAAACTGGAAACAAATGCCCACCAAAATGGGTCTACATGAATCCCAGTACATCCAAGTTCATGGAAAACACTTTCGCTGCTAAAAAGAATGAGGAAGTCCCAGATGCGTGGGGCTGAAAAGGTGCCCATGCTAAACTATGTCGTTAGGGGAGAACAGGATGTGTGATGTGATGCTATTTATGTCGGAAATGAAATCTTATCAAAGTTAAGATGAAGATAAGGTGGGAAGTAGAATTAGGGAATCAGGGAAGTTCTATTTTCAATCAATCTTCTTTACAATTTGATTTTTTAAAATGATGAACATGTGTACCTTGTGATTTTGTTTATTCATTTCAATACCCAATAATGCACAAAAATTCAAAAGGCGCAAGGTGGAGATGTATAATTCTGCAATTCTCTCAACTATCTGATACAGAATTAATTTATTCCCAGCATGCATTTCGTGTGTTTCGAAGGAGGAGGAGGAGACATGAGCGGGAAAGGGCGGTTCTGAAGTTCCTACGGAGGACACAGGCAGCTGTGGTCAGGTGTGGAGGTGGGCTGCCTTTTTGGGGGTCACTCTGTCCTTGGTTTCCCGGCGTCAGGCCTTCCTAACCCCTCTGAAGCACTTAGGGAAGGCCCTTGATGATGCGCTGCCCTTGGTTCCTGGCTGTGGTTTTCTTCTAGGTCCGGGTCCTACGTCTCAGGGCTTCAGGCAGTGAGGCGCTGGAATCCCCCAGGACTGTCCCCCTTCCTGCCAGCTCCCCTCCAGCCAGGCCTGCCTGGCAGACGCCCAAACACTCATTAGGTTAGACAGGTCCGTAGGCAAATATTTATCCCTGGCAGCTGCAGGCTGTGGGGAGGCAGCAGGTGCAGGGCAGAGTCCTGTTTACCTAGCACTGAGCCAGGCGGGCCCTGCCTGTTTGCTGAGCTTCCTTCCCGGCCTGGCGCAGAAGGTTGGGCGAGCTTTGCCCTCTTCCTCCCTCCGTCCCTCCTCCCTCCGCTGTGCTGTGCCAGGGGGCTAGTTGTTCTTCCCACCTCTTTCCTGGGCTGACTGATGCTCACTCTGTGTCTCAGCTTCAATGCTCCCTCCTCAGGGCTCCCTGATTACCCTCACTCTGGAGCGGTCAGGCACCCTGTGAGCATTGCCGTGGCCCACAGTTCCCCATCATGGTGATTACTTATTTCCTGCACTTACCAGGTTAGTGTTTGTCTTCTGTGCTAGAAGCCAGATGAGCAGAGATGGGGATAGTTTTGCTCACTACTGTTTCCCCAGCCCCTCCCATAGGGCCTGGCACTCGAGAGGTGCTCCCCGGGTATTTGAGTGTCAGCCTGAGTGAAGGCAGGCAGAGAGCCCTGCACGGGCAAAGGCACAGAGGTGTGATGGAGGGTGGTGAGGGAGGGGCAGGGGTGACGCTGTATGGTGGGGAGTTGGGGGAATGGAGGCTGGAAAGTGAAGTGGGGTACCGAGCATCTCCCTGTCCTCCCTTACTCTGAAAGCCTTTCAATGCCACATCTGGGAGTTCAGGTTTTATCTGGTCAGAAATGGGACATTGTTGGGAATTTGTTGGGAAATTTCATATCCTTTGAAATGCAAACAATACAGCCAATGAGAGCATGACAAGCCAGATCCTTCAGGCTGGACGGTAAATTCTGAAGTTCCTACGGTGGCCTGCGAGGCCCTGCAGCATCTGCAGCCCACCAAACCTCTTCTCCATCTCCTTCCCCTGCTTGCGGCAGCCACACTGGCCTCCTGGTTGTTTCCTGAACTTCGAGGGTATAATTCAGCCTCAGGGCCTGCTGTGGTCCAACTGTGTCCTTGTGACTCTGTATGTTGAAACCTAACCCCCAGTGTGAGGGTGTTAGGAAGGTAGGGCCCTTGGGAAGTGAGTAGGTCATGAGGGTGGAGCCCTCACAAATGGAATTAGTGCCCTCATCAAAGAGGCCCCAGAGACCTGCATTGTCCTTTCCACTATGGGGGGACATGGTGAGAAAGTGCCATCTATGAACCAGCAAGCAGGCTGTCTATCATTAGACACTGAATCTGCTGATGCCCTGATCTTCCCAGCCTCCAGAATGGTTAGAAGCCAATAACGTTGTTTATAAGCATCCCATTTTATGGTATTTTGTTACAGCAGCCCCAACGGACTATGGACCTTTCTGCTTGCTGTTTCTCTGCCCGGATGCTTTTCCCTTGGATATCATGGTTTATCTCCTTTGTTTAAACCTCAGCCTCCTATGGTCCCTTACCAGAGAGGCCTTCCAGGACATCATGAACAAAGGAGCTGCACCCCCCAATGCCCTGATCCTGCTTTATTTTCCTCTCTAATATTCGTATCTGTTTATTTGTCTATTGTCTGTCTTCTCCCCAGAGATGTCAGCTCGAAGAAGGCAGGAATAGGTAATTTCTCTTGTTCCCTGCTGTGTCCTCTGAGGCTAGAACATGTAACTTTAGGCTCAGTAAGTGCTTGTAGAATAAATGAATGAATGACCGTGTAGTTTGAAGCCACCCCGGTCCTGGAATGATGCTGCCTAGTGCTCACATGCTCTGTCCTGTTGCCGGAGCCCACACAAGCCTTTAGCTCCTTTGCTCTGCACATCAGCCAGGTGGGGAGTGCAGGTCAGGCATTCTTATCTGCCTTAAACAGTGATTATCAATGGCACAGCAACATCATGATCACCTGGACAGAAAGCAAAATGAAATGCCTGCAGGCTTCATGACTTCAGCAAATCAGTTTCTAAAATACGGTGTGCAGGAATTGTCACTAAGAGGATAGAGTCTGCATTTTGAGGCAGGTTTTCTCTGTATTCAATTCCCAGCTCAGCCATTTACTTACTCTGTGACCTGGGACCGTTCAAGCCCCTTCTATGAGCCTCAGCTATCCCTTCTGTAAAATGGAGATGATCATTCCCTTGAATAGCTCTAGTGAGGGAGGCATTTGGACATAGGCATTTCCTGGGCTGCACCATCTACTGTGTATTCATTTTGGTGCCTGCATAATATTCCACCGAGTCAAGTCACACGCTCTGCTTAATCAGGTGGCTATTTCCAGGTGTGGTAACAGTAGCCTCCATTTACTGATCCTGCTGGGCACCAGGCGAGCACTGCACCTTCCTCATCTCTCCTTCAGTCCTCGCTGCAGCTCCGTCAGGTGGCTGCTGTTAATATTTCCATTTTGCATATGAGGTGAAGCAGCTCGTCCACGGCCACACAGCCCTGCTAAATGGAAGACATGGAATTGAAAGCCAAGTTGTCGAATCCAAGAGCTTTCAACTCTGTGCTTTGGTGGGATTGCTGTCCCCATTTTACAGATGGAAAATGAGGCGTGGGGAGGCCAGTGACTTGCGCAGGGCAACACTGAGCAGAGCTGGGATGAGTCAGAACCCAACTCTATCGATTCTTTTTTTTTTTTTGAGACAGAGTCTCTGTCATCCAGGCTGGAGTGCAGGCACAATCTCGGCTCACTGCAACCTCCTCCTCCCGGGTTCAAGCAATTCTCCTGTCTCAGCCTCCCAAGTAGCTGGGATTACAGGCACGTGCCATGACACCTGGCTAATTTTTGTATTTTGAGTAGTGGCGGGGTTTCACTATGTTGTCCAGGCTGGTCTCGAAATCCTGACTCATGTAATCCACTTGCCTTGGCCTCCCAAAGTGCTAGGATTACAGACGTGAGCCACTGTGCCGGCCCAAGTCTACCAGTTCTTAGCCTGTGCTTTCCTCCAGACCCTGCTTTATACCCTGGGACAGTATCCGTGGGTCTCAGTTTTCCTGAAGTGGGGACAGTTAAGTGGCTGAGGAAGGTGTGGCCCTCTAGTATCTGCCCCATAACTAGCTGAAGGCTTCAGTTAAGGATAATAATCACTGGTGAGCAGAGGAAACCTATTTCTGCTCTGGAAATGGCCCTTCTCTCCCTTTCTCTTCCCCCACCTGTTTCTTCCCCTCCCCTCGCCTTGCTCCCCTCCAGAGTTCTGTACCAATTAATCAGCAGAAAATGGAGGCTCCAGCTGGGACCAAGTGGGCTGGACTCATTAGTGCAGAATGACATTAACATCAAAAATCTTTTGAGACAAGTGAAATGATTCAGGGCAAATGCCTATGGAGGACTGGCTCCGAAGCTGGTGTGGGCAATGGAACCTCGATCAAAGACAGGTTACAACAGTGCATACGTGGGTGGACAGCAGGGCCGGGGCCCCAGGATGCCCGAGGGAATCCAAAGCGGCTCTGCCTTGGGCAGAGTCCCTGTCCTCTTGTGCAGCCTGACTTCTCTCTCCTCCCTGCTCGGGAGGCCTGCATGGGTCACTGCAACCCTGGGCAAGCTGGAGAGGCAGCGGGGCATGGAGGCCTTCAGGGTTAGATGGGCTGGGGTGGGGTCCCAGCTGCATCTTCTCCTCCCTCTCCTGGTGTGGCTCTGGTAACTTGCTTCATGTCCTGGGACCTGTGTCTCTTCATCTGAATCATGGGGTAGTGATAGCTGCCTCTCAGGCTGGTGAGAGGATCATGGAATGAGGTGGACACACTTTGTAGAATATGGGCTGGAGGGGAGGGAAGCATATCAACATCTCCTTCTTCATTGTTTTTTACCCAGTGGGGATAAAAATCAAAAGTCGTCCTTTAGGAGCAGCAGGAATCAAATCAGCCCCCGGCAGGGAGCCTTAGAGATAGAACTCTGCTTGGCTCCTCTGCTGTTTATTTCTTGGCTCACTCAGGTATTCAATCACTGGTTCATCCACTTGCACATGTACCGAGCACCTCCCACACTGGCATCGATGTGGCACTGGGGATAAAAAGGTGGTTGGGACACCATCGCCATCTCAGAGGGACTCTTCATCTAATGAGGAGGCTCTCCCTGCCTGCAGGACACGTGTGTGGTCAGGGAGAGCTTTGCAGAGGAGAGGCCATAGAGCTGTCCTTGTGGTTTAAGGAGTTTGCCAGGTGGCCTGGGTGGGGCAGTAGGGACATCATTTATTTGGGAAATAGTTATTGACTGCCTACTACATGCCAGGCACTGTCTGCAGTGTGGGGACACAGCTGTGGACAGCAGAGATGAAACTCTGCCTTCAAGGAGACGGCTTTCTGTGGAAGGTCATAAAAGCCACGGAGCAGTGAGTGGAGTAATGACAGGGCTGCTGTTTTGTACGGGCTGCTCAGGGCAGGCCTCGGCAAGAGGTAGCATCTGGGCAGAGACTTGCAGGGGCCCGGGGAGTGAGCCACAGGGACACTGGGAGCAGAGGGGATGGCAGGTGCATTCCTGAAGTGGAGGGACTCTGTCCGGATCCCCAGGAAAAGCAGGACACCCAAGCCGCAGAGGAGGTGGGGGGCCGTGAGCCACAACAGGGTTCGGGGTGGCCCGGACCATCTCAGGCTTTGTAGGTCTGGCTGCTGGAAAAATACAGGATGCCCAGTTACACTGGAATTTCAGATAAACAGCAAATCGTTTTTTAGTATAAGTGTGTCCCACGCAAGTTTGCCTTTCCCTGAAATTCAAAAAAAGATAATTTTATCTCCTAATATCCCTTTCTTCTTTGTAAAACATTGTTTTAATTGACCAATAAAAATTGTATATACTTGTGGCCTACAACATGATGTTTTGGAATATGTATTCATTTATGGGATGACTAAATTGAGCTAATTAACATATGCATGACTTCCCACATCATTTTTTTTCTCCTGTGGTGAGAACACTTCAAAGCTACTCTTAGCGATTTTCAAGAATACAGTACGCTGTCACTCTGTCGCCACGGTGTACCATGGAGTCCTTTCTTCCTGTCTAACTGGAACTTTGTGTCTTTGACCCTCAGCTCCCCGGTCCTCAGCCCGCCCTCAGCCTCTGGTACCCACCACTCTACTTTCTGCTTCGATGAATTTGGCTTTTTCAGATTTCACATGTCCATGTGACATCACGTGGTATTTGTTTTTCTGTGTTTGGCTTATTTCACTTAGCATGTCCTTAAAATTCGAACCTAAAGGGCATCCTGCCTTTTTGTTTGTGAGATCTGGCCACCCTCGTTGTGGACTCCCTAGGGCTTTGGCTGGATTCTGAGATGGAAGCCACTGGAGGCTTTGGGGTGCAGGAGAGACTGGGTGTGACCAGTTTTAAAGGGTCCTGGGTTGTGAGCAGACTGTGGCTGGCAAGGGCTGAAGTTGGGGGGGTGGTGCGCTGGAGGTGGGAGGTGGGACAGAGGCGCCAGGAAGGTAATGTG